ATACCAACGACAAAGATTTAAATGAAACAGTCTTGTTAAAGGCAAGTTATGCCTCATTCTTTTTTTAATTATATAGAAAAATATTTAAAAACTATTTAAAGTTGCAAACAACGTGCATTAATGTGTTATGAAGGTAGAAAAAAGGAAACAATGTAGTATTTTGACTATATACAAAATTATAATGCACTATGATCATACCCTTTGCAAAAAAGAGGATAGTTAAGAATTGTTAAAGATACCCAGAGAAATAAAAGTCATCGAATTTCTGGACAATAATGGGCCTTTCAAAATTGTCATAAGATGATTTAGAAAAAACGTAATTGTAATGAATGTTTATTTATTGCCGTAAAAAATGGATCCTACTTTCAAAATGAAGTTAATGCTATTGAAATGTAAATGCTCAGTTCTAAATGCTTGTCAGAAGCTTTTCACTACTTTCTTAAGCTTCATTTTCTGACATTTACTACAAGAAAACTATTAAATTCTTTTAAATATCTCCTCGTGATTTTGTTTTATCAAACATAGATTTAAATCCTTTTTATTGTTTTCTTTTATATTAAGATTTTTAATAACAAATATCCACTTCCGGTTAAATAACTTTTTTACATGACATGGTTACACTTTTGCAATGTACATTGAGTGATGTAATGCAATAAAACTGATCGGTCAACTTTTGAAGTCTCCCTCACGAGAAGTAAGGTTGCGTGAATAAAACGAATACCACTTTGTACATTGTGAGTTACTTACTGGAAGTCTACTCCTGCGTTACTTGTGGTCACCTTTCGTGAGTTCAAGTCGAGATTGAGATTAGGTACGGGCAAAAATGGTGTAGATCTTAAACAACTGGTAATGAATTGTGTTGAAATTACATTAATTTTGTTACCATTAACATGTATAACAAGATAGGTATTAAAGCTTTACACACTATGACTACATGTTTTGTACAATGAAAAATAAAATAAATAAAATAAGAAAGACAATAAATTATACCATTTTTCTATGCAGTTAGGAATATTAGTATGTTCTGTGTTAACCATTAAACACTACCAAGTTAATAATCATGAGTGGTTTAAACTATTAACAATAAAAACAAAACAAACAAAAAACACCAAAATGCTAACAAAAAAAGCTTTATTTACTTATACAGCGTTTTGGTTTAAGACAACTATTCAATGGTTATATGTTTGCATGTATAGAAAAAGAAAGAAATATTTCAAACTAAAATATATTTTTGTTGAAGACAACTATTCAATAGTTATATGTTTGCATGTATAGAAAAAGAAAGAAATATTTCAAACTAGTTTCACATTGTATTCAAGGAAAAAGGTAATCTGATCATTACCTAAAATAGAACACTTTATAGATTAAACAAATAAATTCATTTGACTATGTATTTTATCCTCTTAACGTTATACTTTAAACATCTAAGTGTCCTAAATTTGAGAAAAACGATATATTGTTGATAAAGTGTTGTTCGTATTGTTATCATATAAAGATATCAAGCTAAATATAGCAAAACATTCTTATATTTATCAACAATACTTTTAACAGTTAAAATCCGGTCATATGGTACATATTAAAAAATGACCGCCATTGTGTACTAGTGTGTTTGTTTTTTAGGTTTTTTTATATATATTTTGAGGGGTTTTTCTTGTTGTTGTTTTTTGTTGTTGTTTTTTCGATTTAACGTCCAGTTTTCAGAAGATGACTACGTAAAGCCATGTACCCGTGAATTTAGTAGTTTATCCTACTTCTTGGCTGTTATTTGATTTGGTTTAAACATTTAAAATATCAATATTGGTAATGTCTGGTGGAAATAATCATAAGACACAGGAGGAGGATTCCTAAAGATTTTGGCAGAGAAACTGATTCTTAAAATAGATTTAAAATAAAATATAGAGAAATAGGATAGCGTATTTGCTTATGAAAAAGGGCAGATTAAAGAATATTCTTGAGTACATATAGACGGGTTTGTCTTTTGGCATTTATAATGAAATACAGCTCATTTTATGTGTCGACATGTACAAAACAAAATGACTGACTTCTCAAGATAAACATTGGAAGGTAAGAATTTTAATTTACTTTTCGTTAAGGTATTTCAAGTCATTATTGTGGAGAATTGGAAAAATAGGAAACAGTAAAAATATCACTCCTCGTAAAATTATCTGTTACCCTCGATTAACGCCACAAAACTAAATGTTATTTGTTATGATTTCATGCTAGTTGTAAACATCCCTTTATCGCAATATATGAAAAAATGACAGCCAAATTTATCTCTACGTCCTGTTTTGTTATTTATACTTTTGAGGTGGTGTAATAGTGTCCCAAACATTGGATGTAAAAGTGATGTAAAAATCCCCGAAAAATGTCTCTCGGATTGATTTATTAACATAATCTATAATAAAGATACATTGTATTTATCAAGATACTGAACTAGCGCGGCTAGTATTTTATCCAATGGGATTGTTAAATTGTTTAAATTTGCATGTTGTGACAAACTCTTGTGCGTTGGTCTACTATGGGCACATTTTATAAGTTTTTCAAATATTGATAACAACAATTGAATTATATCATTTGAAAACTCTTATAAAAATTTCCGGATGTAAAGTTGTTGATAGTGTTGTAAGTGTTTTAGTATGAACATGTTTGTGATGAATGATAATATTTTGATTTAGAGCAATTTGATATTAGCTGTATTTAGAAAGGTAATATCGGATAATGTAGCTCATACTATCTCACCTTTATCAACAGCATTCATATATACTTATCTCGTGGTCTGTTGTAATGCGTGATACTAAATACTAACATAATTTTGTATGTCATTACAAATCTTCCAGTATGGACCAGTTCACTTTAATATGTAGATGTATTGCCAAATAAATGACGGGTTCTATAACAGACACGTTAAGTTAAAGCTTGTCAAAATATTTTCTTACCGAAATACCATGAGTGCTATAAATTTCAAAATAAATTATTCCGATGTTCAGAGTTTTACACAAAGTGAAATGTAAAAGCGCATGAGCGGTCAACAAAGCTGTACTTGTATGGGTAAGAGTTTGTATTAAGACGACCGTAGGGAGTCTTATCAAACTCTTACCCATATAACTGCAAATCGGCTCTTACAACTTGATATCAGATAAAAATATAGAAAGTGTCACCTCTTTAATCAAGCATAACATTGTTTTTCCCCAGCAGTCACGTACAAAATGGGGTCCAATTACTTAATCTGGCAAGTAAAACAATGAGTTTTCAACAAAACCTAGGATTGTTAATGCAATTCATTCCTGTCATATGAAACGAAATAATGTTTTGCTTACTTTTCTAGAAAATATAAACAATCAGCAATTAATAATTGACATTTTTCTTAGAGTTAAAAGGATATCAAAAAGTTACTGTGTACTCATTTGTCTCTACGTGTATTATCTATGTAATAAATTGAATGTATCCTCACATTGCTACAGTGTTATCAGCCTTTTTAGAAACACATGACCGGGCTAATTAAAATATGCCAATCACGATTTTCACTTTCAGCACTGGTTTCTTCATGAAAAAAGCGGTTACACTAATTACTGCCGAGTAAGAGCCGATTGGCATTAATTAATAATAGTTAGATTGTCGACAAATTTAAAATGAAAGACCATTAAAACAAATTTCAATGAAATAATGTTTAATTATTGATTTCTTTTCCATTTAATACATTCATGCGTTCAGCGACGTTTGTATAAATTAAACACTTTTCAGGTATTTATTTTCAGTCCCCTCTCGTAATCTGGACGTTGCAGGGAGCGAAAGAAGTCGAAATAAACAAATATTATTGCATCAAAAGTGTGCATACCTTTTATCTACGAGGGAAAATTAATTATCTTTCATCTCTTGTTTTTCTCTTTAGTTTACTATCTTTTAATGTCACCAGTTTATGTAACAAATATTAATTTGCTAGTAGCGGGTGTTCAACAAAAAGAAATAGACTGTCTAGTAAATATGTATGATACACACAGCTTGAGGATTATTAAACCTTTTATCTTGTGTCTGGCGAATCGAGCTCATTGAAGTTGTTATGTATGCAACATATTACATGTATATAATTTATATCTGACCAGTTGGTATTTCTAATATTATCATTGTTCTATTTTTAGAACATAAACTACATGTATGTACTAGAACTTTCTTAACTGTTGTAGAAAACTCATGCATTATAATTAGATAGAAATTTCCGGAATGATCTTTATTGTTGAAGTTGCTAGATTATGATTATTGTAGAAAATGAAAGACTATTCTAGAAACTTCTTTTTTTTCCGTATTACCTTTTAAGTCATCAGTGATCTTTTAAGTCATCAGTTACATTTTAAGAAATCAATATATTTGGAGTATTATTCAACTTGGATATAAAGTGATTTATTGGAGCTTGGATTATTTTTAAAATAGTTTAAATTATTCTTGTGGATTTTATTGTGGGAATTTATTCTAAAGTGTTCTTGGATTTAACTTGGATTTAACTGTGCTATTCAAAAAGGATCATTCCAGGATCAGATAAGACATTTGAATTTTACATTTTTATTTGGACTTCAGGTATTTGTACACATAATTTGTTATTTTGATTTTCTTTATTAATTTTTCTGTAATAAATTTGTTATTGTTACAAGTTTGTTGCTGGATTTTCTTTCTCGTTACGCCTGGCTCGTAACAAAGTGTATTTATAATGCTTTTGATGGAACAATATTCTTTATAATCAACGTTATGATTCGCTTTGTTTTGTTACATTAACCTTTGACACATAATGTTTACAAAGGTTTATGTACTGTGAAGTTTTATGGTTGTAGGTCGCATGTCTCCCATTTTGTTTCTAAAAGAGACATATCAAAACAATATGTCTTCCTGGTCTTCTCGTGGGCAGAGAAGCTGAAATTGATGGGTTAATCTACTACATTTAAAATGTGGTTAAACAATGTTCATATATACGTGTTACTAAATCTTTGAAATAAAGAATAAAAGGATTGTATAAGTTAATATATTTTTATTATTGTTTATACAATGTCATATAGCTATATAATTTATATTAATGCATGTTGAGCAATCAGATATAAATGGGTTGAAATATTTAATACAATTCGTAAGAGTTTCGTAAACAGCAGCTAAATATAAAAAGATAACTCATGACGTAGCCAATCTTTAAAATTTCAATACTTTAAAACTACCTTACATCACTTTAAGGTTGAGTTTTATGTTTCACCAGCACAGTAGAGGTCCTATGGCGACTTTTCTGCCTACAGATGGAGGAAGACCTCAAAATGTCTTACCTCACTTATTTTTGATTTTCTAATTCTCTGCTTAATATATTAAAACACTTGTAAAATGTACAATATTATAAGCCTCCAGTTAACACTTAGAACTCTTCACCCTATATTTGAGTTATGAAACGTTACAAACATCACTGCGTAAAGCCTAACATCACAAAAAAGACTTCGTTTTGATTTGCAAGCGTAAAAGCTAGGTCTCTATGACAACACAGGCGGATAATTTCGTACAAAATTTTTAGTCAAATCGTTAACTAAAGAAACATAAACATTTTTATGTAATTTAATACATCCCTTCAACTGCTTAAGAGGGAAGTTGACAATATAAAACGTTACACAAAAACGTGTACATGTCAATACATTCGATGCGTACTGCCCACTTCTTGTCTCGTCTCGTCTTCTCGTCTCACTTATCAATGTCTCGTCGACATTGGTGTAAATAATGAACTAGTAACCTCAATCTCACGCTTACAAGTCCGACATATGGCGACGGTATCGCTGTTTTCACCTTCAACGGTATTAACCTCAGGTTCATTTATGAAATGCGTTGTGGTGTTTACTGGAGTCACTTTGCTGTCTGGTAACTTCAAACTTTCAAGATATGGATTTAAGTTTTGCATTATCATCGAAACAACTCCTTCGTTCGGCGAGGTGTTGTTTAATATATGCGTAGCTTTTTCAGTGTCCTTTGCTCTATTATGTTTATGAACAGATGTCCTCATCCAAATTCGTCTCAATACATTTTTTTCCCATTCGTTGTTATGGTATCGATGTTTTCTTTTTTCTACACCAACTTCTTTACAAAGAAAATTAGGAAAACAACCTTCCAAAAATAGAATTGCAGACAATTTTTGTAAACGACAATGAAGTTTTGCAGCGACTTCACCTCCATAGTTGCTCATCAAATCAGTACATGAGTTTGACATAATTGCAATAAGGGCGTTAAGGAGTAAAATGGTTGTCAACAATACAAACAAAACAAAAACAAATATAGCTAAATACGGTTGACGAGCTTGAAACAATACTCCCAATTCTCCTATACCAAGCATGATGGTCAGCATTTTGAACAGCGTTGTGCTAAAGAAATCAAAGTCGTCTTCATCCGTTTCTACTCCCTGCATGATCATATACATCGCTACTGAAAAAGCGACGAGAAGAAAAGTCATAACAAGTGCGAATTTCAGCATGTCCACAATCGCTCTCTGAATCAAAACAGAGAAAATACTGAAAGCTTTGAAGGTTTGTAAAAAGAATAATGTCAAATACCAGCCTATAATAACAACGAAAATAAGGCAGTAATTTTCATATCCTGAAAAAGATCCAGAAGCCTCGGTTGCAGCAATAACACAATCAAGTATGAGAAGCAAAGAAAAAAGTGTAAAATATATTCTAAAAATTTGATTGGAATAAGGTGAACTAATATTACGAAGTACACGTTTTAGAAGATTTGATGATGGTCTGTACAGAAAGCGTGATATCAGAACTCTAGATATTTCCATCATCAAGTATAATAAACCAAACACAAGGCCGACGACAGATACTACGGATACAAACGTGTCATGTGTAACAACATATGTAAATTCAATCTTGGTATTTCTAGAAACGGGCGCCTTCACTTTTGACCTGTAAACTGCAGCTACCGAAAGAACGACCATGAACACCAAATGGAACACAAACCAGCTTAAGAAAACCCATCTGTAGAACTTCCATTTTTCTCGTATAACTTCTTTTATAGGAAGACAATCAACAAAGAGGAATGCCGTTTTAGTTTCCTGGTGGACAAGGTATTCCAAAATGGATTCATGGTGTTCAGGTCTGATATCATCCTCAAGATTTTTAGAATTGATTTCTTCCCTTTTCAACTTGAGTGTCTCTATCTCAGTAATGTCGTAACTTTCTTCATTGAAAAATCCATCTCCCGACTCCGTGCTACGGTAAACCTGTTTTAAGGTATATAGTTGTAAGATATAAGTTAATTTCGATGTAAATTTTAGATAGAAAATATGTCATTTAATCTGTTAAAACCCTTGAAATATGATATAGTGACAGCGCTTAATACAAAATATCAGTTTGAAATCGTAACAATATTCTATCTAAAATTTTGAAACAGTTTTGTTTATTTAAGACTATGTCAAAAGAAAAGAAATTGAAATGCCAAAAAAACTAATTTGTTGACAGTAAATATGTCGTGTATATATAATTAAAATTATCCTATACATTTAAATGTAACTGAATACACTCAGCAATTCAATTTACGTTGTTCAAAATATAATGACTTTGACTAACCTCATTTTGCATAATGAGGTCGAAAATCTGAAACTGTTGTCTTTTGCCTGCCAATTGAAGGGGATTCATTTCATCTTTGTTTGTCATCATCAACAATTTCCGGGACTTCTCCCTCAATTTCCGTCGCCTCTTGTCCTCGTAACCACAAGTACTATCATTGACAAATTTGCAATCAATCACATAACTGATCATTTCAACAACCTTGTTTAGTTTTTCTGGCTGTATGTGGGCATACTTGATCAAAGAGTGAATAATGTTGTCCCTGTTACTGTTCATTACATCTAAATCGGTAGCGAAGACTCTGAGAACAATATTGAAAATGTTCTTATTGAATTTCAGTGCAGCTACACCAAGTGGTGTACCAGCCATCATCACAGTGTCTTGAAAAACAGGACCTTTGGCACATATTTTCTTTTCATACCCTTCTGGTAACATTTTTTTTACTTAGGTACATTGCAAAGCGTTTGCCATTTTAACTATAAGCTTTTCATTCTCATTGAGAATGGCAAGATGCAATGGCGTGATCCCTTCGTAATCATTGCTTGTTTTTGGTTTAACAATCATTTCTGGGCATCCGTCCACGAGTAGGTCAATAATCTCGTTAAGTATTTTCTCCTCATCAGTGTCTTTCTCAACATTAATAGACATTGCTCGCAAAAGCAACGTATCGCCATTGATTTTACTGTCACTTGTTTTAATCACACAAGATGTGTTTCTGTGTTCATCTGTAATATTCCCATGCAGAATATTTTCGTCGAACATCTTTTGGATTTTTTTTTGTGATAGACAGCCTTTGAAAAACTGTTGGAAATCCTCTTTGATATCTCCCAATGAGGTTGTGTTCCATTCACGACGGTCGATTTTTTCAAGTCCGGCGTACAAGCTGAGAATTTGTTTTGTTACTGTCCTTTTTTTCCCTTTGCTATTGGTTGATAGTGTTCTTGTAAAAGGCGGTTTAATTTGGTCTTCCATTTCCGATTTGAATATACGCTGAAGTAAATTTAATCTTATTCTTATTAAATTAAATAATCGAGTATTCCTTTGAAATTTGCTTTTCAATTTAATTTGCTTTAAAGTACCTTGCGCTTTTATACCTGCTGTAGTATGAAAGAATAATAAAAGGTTGTTGAGTACAAAATTTAAAATCTCCTAAGTGATATTTATACGCAGAGAGGGTATAAAGGATTGTCGTGTGGGAACTTTAATCAATGATTTATTGTTTTGGCAAGTGGTTTCCATGTATGCGACTTAACATAAGCACTTAAACATTAAAAGTGTATGGTTTAAATGAAAATTCTCTTAAATGGGAAAAAAGTACCCCTCTTTATTTTTTATTTTATGAAATTTATGTATCGATTTGAAAAAGCAAAAATAATGAAACAAGATGTCTGTTTGAAATACAAAGCTATGGTAAAATATTTCTTCGTGCAAAGTTAACGGATGCAATAATGCCTTTACTGTATAGAAACAAATGTCCCATCTTTTCACAATTCTGCTCGCCTTTATGGAGACTGTTCGGTGAAGAGGTTTTATATTTTCAAGGTTGTTTAAAAAGGGTATGAAGTATTGAAACTTCAAGCGCATTAGTAGGTTAATACAGTTTTAACACCTTAGCTTGCTGAAAGCAACTGATGGTACGTATTTGAGCAATGCAAACCAAGATCATTCAGTTAAATAATGACTTAAATCTCGATTAAATGGGGATTTTTTTGGTATTTTTGTCTGCATGTTTCTATATTTTTCTTTGCCCTTTTTGTTGTTTTTTCTTTGCTCCCTTTTCTGATCAGCAAGTAAACGTTTTAAAACCCTTTATGCACAAACAATTGAAATAAAAACGTTATTTCACTTGAATTATGGCACAGACTGTTTCTTTATATTGCACATATAAGTTTTATAAAAAAAAATTATTGTTCCAAGAAGACTTTCAACAGTATCATTCCTATAACTGATAGAGCAGACAAGACTTTGCCATATAAGGTAAAAGAATTTCAACAACTCACAGTTCTTTGGACTAAAACATTAAAACTCATTGTCAAGCATATTCGTAAATTATTGTACCCCGTATTCAGTGTGCTCCTTTGTGTCATTTCAAATGTTTTACCACCGTACACTTGTCTGGATTAATCTTACGCAAAAAAGCGAATTGAAAGATAAAACTTAAACAGACCTTGACACCCAACGGTATTGCATGACATTTACAGCATGCAATTTAATATAATATATTTTTATTATTGTTTTTTTTTGCCAACGAGGCGTTCTAAAATGAATCCCTTGTAATAATCTTTTTTGTATCGATAGATATATGGAGACATTGCACAGTGTACTACATGTATTATCAATCAAAATCAAAATATATTTTGACTTGCAGAATAAGCATTAATTATAAGACTGTCGGGATATAATAGTCGCATCATGCACTTTTAATAATAATTCTATCATGTATTAAATTCGCGTTTGTATTTGCCTTTTTCATACGAAGATCTAAATGTAAAACTTGCTAGTAAAAAGACATGTTCGAATTTGATGTCAGATACACAATACAATCTCCAGAAAGTTTCTTTCACAAAGGCATACAATGATTCAAATATAAGGAGCTTGTAGGAAACGGGCATATCATTATTAAGATGTAGGAAACCTGTAGTAAAAAGCCAGGGTAACATGTTTTTGCGATATAAACTAATTCATCAATTCCGGTTATGATAATATCTGGTCATTGATTAATATAGTCAGAGTGAATTCTTTCCGTCTCTTAGTTTAATAGGGAGTGCATCGAATAAGTAATACATACAGGTCGCAGGTTTGATCCTCTGGCGTGGCGTAATTTCTCTGTGACCATTTAAGCCAGGCATTGAGTCTAACGGTAATTTGTCTTTTACCGCAGCTCGAAAAAACTTGTGGAATAAGTAGTCGATCAGTTGCAGGAAAAGGATTTAAATCCTGAAAGGCCATTTAGGTGGATCGAACGCCGAGATTTGACCTTAAATGTGTTAAAGTCGGCGTCAGAATTCAGGGGATGTTTGTGTCATCACTTGTAAAAATTCTGGATTTAAAATAATGTCATAAATTGTGTTTTTAGATTGTGATGGTAAATACCTACCTGGTACAACCTTAAACCGGGATCGTTTCTGATTTATTGTCCACTTCTTCTATCAGTGAATTGCACACGTTTAAATTTGTACTGATATAAATACTTGCCTTGTGAGCAAGACTTTACATTTACTAGATATGGCAAGAAGTATAAACGGGTTTTGATAAATCCATGGCTCCCTGGATCAATCTCCTACAATTCAATGTTTATTGAATAACTGAAAGACAAACAGGAGGATTATACTGGAAACCGATGAGTGACAATCGTCAATGGTTTGAAGACAGAAGAAGAGTTATTTTTTCTATAACTATTTGCTTTTTTACTAACTTTATAAACCCTTAAATTAATGGGTTCCCACTATTTAATTGGAGTGATTTCTAAAATTTGCAATTTATAGATTTTGTATTTAAACATATTGTTACTCATATTGTACATGCATGTATAAATGGTATATTATATACATTATTTAATTTTAAATGATAATATTTCCAAGAATGAAAATTTTAAAAAAAATAGCATACTGGTTTGAACCACGAATCCTCACAAATAGTCCTTCCAATAAATATCGAAAACAATAAATGATAATAAAACAGCTACAAACCAAAATAATGCAGAAGTAGAGCAGTCTGTGAAAAATGTAAATTGTTAATGTTAGAAGAAAAAAAAATGACTTCAAAAGATAGAGTTTAGTTTGTAGAAATATCAAATGGTCGTAGCAAATACGATTTATATATACATATGTAAATGTCAATAAGAAAATGAAATGTTGATATCTTAACAAAACTTAACTGATTTTAGTAAGGCCTAATATATCACAATCTAGGCAAGCAACTATACATGTAAGAACACATTCATAAATGCATGCATGCACGTATACACAAACATAAATCTTTTTTCTTTTTTTTTTTTTTTTTTGAAGCCCAAGAGGTAACTCCGTTTATTGTCCCCGTAATAGGTAAAATAGGGTCGGGGATCCATCCACTATTTTACCTTACAATTTATTATAATGTTACAAAAAAACATAAGGGCATATATATCATACATTATTTTATAATATATACAATACACAGAAGATAAATGTTCTCTTGGGATTCAGAGTATTTTCATTTCCACAAAAACTGGATATAATATACACAAACTGTAATATATAAGTAGTTAATTCAAAAAAAAGTTATTGGTATTATCTTCCTCCTCTTGCACATGAATATATATCTTTTTAATTCTAGACAAAAAATATTAAATTGACAGTGGTCACCTTTTTGATACCCTAAAATAAATGTTTTACAATCAACCTTCCAATCAATGACATTTTAACAATTGTTGCACATCTGAGATAAAAGTTTTTATAACCGAACAATTCCAGAATAAATGAGATAATGTCTCTTTTTCTTCTTTGCAAAAAGTGCATTTATCAGATTGTGTCAATTTCATTTTAGACATTAAATAATTTGTTCCTAGAATTCTATGGGTGATTCTAGTTTGAAGCCATTGAAGGTAACTATCATTAGTTTCAGTGTGAACCCATTCAAACAGGTATTTCCACTCAGTATCATCAATGTTAAAATAAGCATTCCATTTTGATATACATGTAGGTCTTTGACAATTATCAATAAATACATTATATATGGTAGAGGTTCCACTTCTACATAAAAATATATGTTTTACATAAAAGGGAATAGATGGCAATAATACATTGGTATTAGAATATTCAATTTTTAGAGACGTTATGTACTTTCTAATAGCACTTTTCAAACCTTCATAAACTAAAAGATTCATATTTGTACCAATTTTTGTTTCTAAATTTTCTTTACTCACAAAATTTCCATTTTTTTTGCATAATATCTTTGATAAAAAACACTCCATTTTCATACATTGATTTAACATACAAAGGCTTTCTATCTATCAAAATATTATTATTGTAAAATAGTGGACAGTTAACAAACTGGTCTATATCTGTTATTTTCACAATATCTATATAGTCAATAAACGCTAACAAAACATCTTTCCAAAAGTAATTGTACATTGATTTAGATTCAATTTCTACATATCACTTTCAACAGTTAAAAACTTTGTCATAATTTAAAATGTTACTTATAAATGTGAAACATTTTTTACCACTTCCAGTGAGAAGTCTTTTAAACCATGTTAATTTCAAACTTTTCATATATGCAAATACATCAATCATTTTTAAACCACCTTCCCTGCAGTTTTTTATTTAAACACTAGATTTAATTTTTGATGGGCCACCCCAAACAAATTCATAAAACATTTTATTAATATCTTTGAGTATTCGTGTACTTGGGTTTGGAAGAGACATAAACAACTATGTTAGAAGTGTTAATATAATTGA